GACTAAAAGTATTGTCGTTCTGTTATCCACACTCGGTTAACAAAGAAACCCAGACTAACAGTATTGTCGTTCTATTATCCAGACTCAGTTAACAAAGAAACCCAGACTAACAGTATTGTTGTTATATTATCTAAACTTAATTAACAATGAAACCCAGACTAACAGTATTGTCGTTCTATTATCCACACTCAGTTAACAAAGAAACCCAGGCTAACAGTATTGTCGTTCTATTATCCACACTCAGTTAACAAAGAAACCCAGACTAAAAGTATTGTCGTTCTGTTATCCAGACTCGGTTAACAAAGAAACCCAAACTAAAAGTATTGTCGTTCTATTATCCAGACTCAGTTAACAGAGAAACTCAGACTAACAGTATTGTCGTTCTATTATCCAGACTCAGTTAACAGAGAAACTCAGACTAACAGTATTGGCGTTCTATTATACACTCCCAGTTAACAAAGAAACCCAAACTAACAGTATTGTCGTTCTATTATCCACACTCGGTTAACAGAGAAACTCAAACTAACAGTATTGTCGTTTTATTATCCACACTCGGTTAACAAAGAAACCCAAACTAACAGTATTGTCGTTTTATTATCCACACTCGGTTAACAAAGAAACCCAGACTAACAGTATTGTCGTTCTATTATTCAGACTCAGTTAACAAAGAAACCCAAACTAACAGTATTGTCGTTTTATTATCCAGACTCAGTTAACAAAGAAACCCAGACTAACAGTATTGTCGTTCTATTATTCAGACTCAGTTAACAAAGAAACCCAGACTAACAGTCTTATCATTCTATTATCCAGACTCAGTTAACAAAGAAACCCAGACTAACAGTATTGTCGTTCTATTGTCCAGACTCAGCTAACAAAGAAACACAAAGTTATATAAGTAATTTTGCCAAATATTGATTTATCGCTTCATAACTAAACCTGATATTAATTTAAATTATTTTTCCAGTTTAAAGACAGAATATATATAGTTTATCCATCGGCCCACTCTTTCCCTGTTTATAAATGAACATTTGGAACTGATTTAAGTAACTAGTCCAGTATTTTACTTGACTTTAACAAACACTACAGAAATTAAATTTCAATAAAGATGTTTAATTATTAAAGAGCCAGGATTTGAAGGAGACTGAACATGAAACCTAACCTACTGAATGGACATTTAGCACTTTAAATGTAAGCAAAAACCTCAAAATATAAGATTAACACGCCTCGTGTTCTAGATATACAAACCTCAAACACGTGACTGATACAGAGCTCGTGTTCTAGGTATACAAACTTCACACACGTGACTGATACAGAGCTCGTGTTCTAGGTATACAAACTTCACACACGTGACTGATACAGAGCTCGTGTTCTAGGTATACAAACTTCACACACGTGACTGATACAGAGCTCGTGTTCTAGGTATACAAACTTCACACACGTGACTGATACAGAGCTCGTGTTCTAGGTATACAAACTTCACACCCGTGACTGATACAGAGCTTGTGTTCTAGGTATACAAACTTCACACACGTGACTGATACAGAGCTCGTGTTCTAGGTATACAAACTTCACACACGTGACTGATACAGAGCTCGTGTTCTAGGTATACAAACTTCACACACGTGACTGATACAGAGCTCGTGTTCTAGTTATACAAACTTCACACACGTGACTGATACAGAGCTCGTGTTCTAGGTATACAAACTTCACACACGTGACTGATACAGAGCTCGTGCTGTCGGTATATAATCCTCACACACGTGACTAATACAGAGTTTAGACTACAAATTTGTGAGTTGTTGATCTCAATGAAGTACAACAGATAAAGTTACATTTCAAATGCTGTTAACGTAATCATCTTATTTACAGCATCACACAGAGTGCCACCTCCCGGAAAAAAAACAACAATAAACAAACCCGAGGCTCATCGATATATTGTAGATTGAAATATGCCAAGTAAAATTTAGATTTTTAACTTTTCGTTCAAACTCTTGTAGTAGGATAATTACTTACCAAAAAGTTCTATTTGTGCGATACATTTCAAAACAAACTTAGGAATATTGGTTTTCTCCCTTTCACACAAACTTTGAAGGCTGTAGCCAAACACTGGTTCATCTGTTTAAAAAAAATATATACATTTATAATTTACCTGTGCTCATATGATGCACTATGACTACGTTGTAACATTTTTTACATTAAAACTAACAATCTACTCAACCAAATGTATGACTTGAATTACACATTCCTTGAATGTTAAAATTAACAAGCAAAACTAAACATGATCTACAAATCAAGTGATATTAAGAAAACAAGTGCAAATGTCCCAGTAATGTTATACTTTATGTCTAAGTCTCACAAATTTTATTGACCTTTGATCCGTGATCTTCTAAAGTTAATCAACTTTGTGCGTAGTACCTGTTTATATAAGTTTGGCTAATATCCATTCATCCTGTATTAAAACATCATGTCTACAAGGTTGGGGAAGATTTCCTATTTACCAGTGACTTTTGACTAATGACCTTTAAAAGTTAATCAGGTCTAGAACTTTGTATGCAGCACCTGTTTATATAAGTTTGGCTAATATCCATTCATCCTGTATTAAAATATCATGTCTACAAGGTTGGGGAAGATTTCCTATTTACCAGTGACTTTTGACCGATGACCTTTAAAAGTTAATCAGGTCTAGAACTTTGTATGCAGCACCTGTTTATATAAGTTTGGCTAATATCCATTCATCCTGTATTAAAATATCATGTCTACAAGGTTGGGGAAGATTTCCTATTTACCAGTGACTTTTGACCAATGACCTTCAATAGTTAATCAGGTCTAGAACTTTGTATGTATTACATTTGATATAAGTTTGGCTAATATCCATTCATCCTGTATTGAAATATCATGTCTACAAGGTTAGGGAAGATTTTCTATTTACCAGTGACTTTTGACCGATGACCTTCTATAGTTAATCAGGTCTAGAACTTTGTATGTATTACATTTGATATAAGTTTGGTCCAAAACACATCTATTCAATAATGAGGTATCCTGTGTACAAAAACGGGACGGACAAACCAATACATCCCGCTCTGCTTCCCGAAGCATGGGAAGTATAAGAACAGGAAGTTATATTGTTTCTCTATCGAATTATCAATTCAGGACATTAAAGCGTTTGTTTTTCGTCTTAAAGCTACACAATGAGATAGCTACACTCTGTCCACTGTAGGAATCGAACCCTGGATTTTAGCGTTGATAATTAAGACAAGAATATTAAAATACGCTATTTTTCTCAGTTATATTCCTTTAGAATTCAGGTGAAATTCGTTTAAATATTCTAGCATTAAATAAACATCAGCTTTTTTATTAATTAGAAATTGAACTGTAATAATTTTTTTTAAAAAACACTGTTTTCATACTTTGAAGAACTGCTTAGAGATTAAGCCTAACTTACATATTTCTACTCAATCTCGTACCTAACGAAAACGCACAGAAACAGAGAGTCTTATATTATATAAGAACTGGGTTCAATTACCTTTCAGAATTCCTTTCCTTTTCAGATTTTCTATGGATGGACGTTTGTGGAAAAAATGAAGTAATTTGTTGTGGATCTTTTTCCTGTCACAGAGACTGGTAAAAAAAGCTTCATGCGCGTTTTTTAGATGATCAACTGTAGAAAACAAACATATGTAGGGATGATACGACTATACATGAATCATTTATGTATGATTTTCAATATTCAAATTTAAGTTTACAGTTTTTTTGTGTGTGATTTAATATCACGAATTATTGACTAGATAAACAAAAAACGTTACATAAGCAAATGAAATGTAAAGATAAGATCGAATAGAGAAACGATCCTGGTTAGGGTGCTCTACTCGTAATATGCCAGTATCGAGATCGAAATTTATCATCAAACGTGTTTCATCTGTGGGGGGCTTTATAATGATACGATCAATCCCACTATTCGATTCGAGAAGTACAAGAGTGGGTGGTGTTGACTAGCTGCCTTCCTTCTACTCCATCACTTCTAAGTTAGGGACAACTAGCACAGATAGCCAAAGTTATTAAACGGGAGAAATTAAACAAACTTTCCCTAACTTAGAAGTGATGGACTAGAAGGAGGCTATCTGTGCTAGCTGAAAGTTATTAAACGGGAGAAATTAAACAAACAATCTTCAGCTAAATATTACGATTTTCTCTTTTCTTATATATATTACGATGTTTGTGTTTCTAAGTTTATGGACAGTGAAACAAATACTTATACTTCTATGGTCTGAACAGTGAAACACATTAAATCAAATCTAGGTGAATATAAGAACAACAGAGATAGCTGTATGGTAAATGTTCAAAGTTTAATGTGTATGTAAAAAATTACAATATTTCCAGGTAACAACCCTTCTTGGTAAGCACGTTTGGTTTGATTTGAATTTCGCGCAAAGCCACACGAGAGCTACCTGCGCTAGCCGTTCCTAATTTAGCAGTGATAGACTAGGGAGAAGACAAGTAGTCAACACCGCCAACTCGTGGGCTACTATTTTACTAACGAATAGTGAGCTTGACCGTTACATTATAACGCCCCCATAGCTGAAAGATCGACCCTCAGATTACCTTAACTCGAGCACCATAACCACTAGGCCATGTATACATTTTAGGTTCATTATATAAAGGAAGTCAATCAAAACTCTCTGTAAGCTAGGACAGTCCTTTCTCTGTATGCTAGGACAGTCCTTTCTCTGTAAGCTATGACAGTCCTTTCTCTGTGAACTAGGACATTAATTGATTTGTAAGCTAGGACAGTCCTTTCTCTGTGAGCCAGGACATTAATTGATTTGTAAGTTAGGACAGTCTTTTCCTTGTAAGCTAGGACAGTTCTTTCTCTGTGAGCTAGGACAGTCATTTCTCTGTGAGCTAGGACAGTCCTTTCTCTGTGAGCTAGACAGTCCTTTCTCTGTGAGCTAGGACAGTCATTTCCCTGT